GCTTTGATGAGATGATCAAAGCGTTTGGGTTTTCGCAGACTTATGGAGAAGCCTGCGTTTACAAGAAAGTGAGTGGGAGCTCTGTAGCATTTCTCATATTATATGTAGATGACATACTCTTGATGGGAAATGATATAGAATTCTTGGACAGCATTAAGGCCTACTTGAATAAGTGTTTTTCAATGAAGGACCTTGAAGAAGCTGCTTATATATTAGGCATCAAGATCTATAGGGATAGATCGAGACGCCTCATAGGTCTTTCACAAAGCACATACCTTGATAAGATTTTGAAGAAGTTCAAAATGGATCAGTCCAAGAAAGGGTTCTTGCCTGTACTGCAAGGTGTGAGATTGAGCTCGGCTCAATGCCCGACCGCGGCAAAAGATAAAGAAGAGATGAGTGTCATCCCCTATGCCTCAGCCATAGGATCTATTATGTATGCCATGCTGTGTACCAGACCTGATGTAAACCTTGCCGTAAGTTTGGTAGGAAGGTACCAAAGTAATCCCGGCAAGGAACACTGGACAGCGGTCAAGAATATCCTGAAGTACCTGAAAAGGACAAAGGACATCTTTCTCGTTTATGGAGGTGACGAAGAGCTCGTCGTAAAGGGTTACGTCGACGCTAGCTTCGACACAGATCTGGATGACTCTAAGTCACAAACTGGATACGTGTATATGTTGAATGGTGGAGCAGTAAGCTGGTGCAGCTGCAAGCGGAGCGTCGTGGCGGGATCTACATGTGAAGCGGAGTACATGGCAGCCTCGGAGGCAGCGCATGAAGCAGTATGGGTGAAGGAGTTCATCACCGACCTAAGAGTCATACCCAATGCGTCGGGGCCGATCAAACTCTTCTGTCACAACACTGGAGCTATTGCCCTTGCCAAGGAGCCCAGGTTTCACAAGAAGACCAGGCACATCAAGCGTCGCTTCAACTCCATCCGTGAAAATGTTCAAGATGGAGACATAGATATTTGCAAAGTACATACAGATCTGAATGTCGCAGATCCGTTGACTAAACCTCTCTCACGAGCAAAACATGATCAACACCAGAACTCTATGGGTGTTCGATTCATCACAATGTAACTACATTATTGACTCTAGTGCAAGTGGGAGACTGTTGGAAATATGCCCTAGAGGTAATAATAAAATGGTTATTATTATATTTCCTTATTCATGATAATTGTCTTTTATTCATGCTATAACTGTATTATCCGGAAATCGTAATACACGTGTGAATACATAGACCATAACATGTCCCTAGTGAGCCTCTAGTTGACTAGCTCGTTGGTCAACAGATAGTCATGCTTTCCTGACTATGGATATTAGATGTCATTGACAACGGGATCACATCATTAGGAGAATGATGTGATGGACAAGACTCAATCCTAAGCATAGCACAAGATCGTGTAGTTCGTTTTGCTAAAGCTTTTTCAATGTCAAGTATCTCTTCCTTAGACCATGAGATCGTGTTACTCCCGGATACCGTAAGAGTGCCTTGGGTGTACCAAACGTCACAACGTAACTGGGTGACTATAAAGGTGCATTACAGTTATCTCCGAAAGTGTCTGTTGGGTTGACACGGATCGAGACTGGGATTTGTCACTCCGTATGACGGAGAGGTATCTCTGGGCCCACTCGGTAATGCATCATCATAATGAGCTCAAAGTGACCAAGTGTTTGGTCACGGGATCATGCATTACGGTATGAGTAAAGTGACTTGCCGGTAACGGGACTGAACGAGGTATTGGGATACCGACGATCGAGTCTTGGGCAAGTAACGTACCGATTGACAAAGGGAATTGTATAGGGGGTTGTTCGAATCCTCGACATCGTGGTTCATCCGATGAGATCATCGAGGAGCATGTGGGAACCAACATGGGTATCCAGATCCCGCTGTTGGTTATTGCCCGAGAGCCGTCTCGGTCATGTCTACGTGTCTCCCGAACCCGTAGGGTCTACACACTTAAGGTTCGGTGACGCTAGGGTTGTATGAATATGAGTATGCAGCATACCGAATGTTGTTCGGAATCCCGGATGAGATCCCGGATGTCACGAGGAGTTCCGTAATGGTCCGGATGTAAAGAAAACTATATAGGAAGTGGTATTTCGGCCATCGGGAAAGTTTCGGGGTCACCCGGTATTGTACCGGGACCACCGGAAGGGTCCCGGGGGTCCACCGGGTGGGGCCACCCATCCCGGAGGGCCCCAGGGGCCGAAGTGGGGAGGGGAACCAGCCCTTAGTGGGCTGGCGCGCCCCCCTACGCACACCCCCTGCGCCTAGGGTTGAAACCCTAGGGTGGGGGGGCGCCCCACTTGCCTTGGGGGGTACTCCACCCCCCTTGGCCGCCGCCCCCTTGGGAGATTGGATCTCCCAGGGCCGGCGCCCCCCTGGGGGCCTATATAAAGGGAAGGGGGGAGGGGGGCAGCCGCACCCTGAAGTCCTCGCGCCCCTCCCCCTGCTACACCTCTTCCTCCTGCGTCACGTGCTTGGCGAAGCCCTACCGGAGTGCTGCTGTTCCACCACCACCACGCCATTGTGCTGCTGCTGGAGCCATCATCATCAACCTCTCCTTCCCCTTGCTGGATCAAGACGAAGGAGACGTTACGCTGACCGTACGTTTATTGAACGCGGAGGTGCCGTCCGTTCGGCGCTAGGATCTCCGGTGATAGGATCACGACGAGAACGACTACTTCAACCCCGTTCTTTTGAACGCTTTCGCGCGATCTATAAAGTGGTATGTAGATGCAATCTCTCTCCCATGACTCGTTGCTTAGATGAACTCATAGATGGATCTTGGTGAAACCGTAGGAAAAATTTTAATTTTCTGCAACGTTCTCCAGCCGAGTGCACTGAGTTCTTGATAGAATGCACTGAACTCATAGATGAACTCATTGACATATGCACTGAGTTCTTGATAGAATGCACTCGGCAGTATTAATGATTGCTGGGACCCGTCCAGCCGAGTGCGCTGCGCCGAGTTTGGCACTCGGTGAAGATTTCGTCCGAGTTTAATAAGTGCTCTGCCGAGTTTCTTTGGAACTCCGCATAAACATTGATTCTAGTAGTGATGCATCTGAATGCAAAAATCAACGTTGGGTTGTTCACTTGCTCATACCGTGTGATTAATTTCCACTCTCATGTACTCCCTCCATTCGAAAATAAGTGACATGATATTAGTTCAAATTACTAGGAAGAGCAGATTTGATCGCCCGCCCCACCTAATTAGGGAAAAATGATTCAAAATATATGCCACGCTTTCGAGGACCGAGGGAATAGCTTTTAATGCAACTGTGGTGCTCTTTTACAACAACAACAATAACAACAACAACAACAACAACAACAACAACAACAACAACAACAACAACAACAACAACAACAACAAAAATTGACCGACAAGATGCTTCGTTTATCATTCGCAGTTGTGCGAAATATTGACAATGGATCTGAATACATTTACACACATTAATCATACCCTATTCACACATTTTGCAATCACTTATTCCAATACTGCAACTTTTGTAAGCCCAACTTTACTACACACCTTGTAGTATCCTTTGCTAGTTATAGAGAAAACTGCATGATACTACTGTACCGGAATGGTGAGATTAGCTTGTAGATAATCAACATGATCTTCACATGTTTTAGTGATAGCAGATAGCTCATCAGTGGCACATCGTGCCGTTGGTCTGCATGATGGGTTAGGCTCCATGCACTTTAGGGCAACACTAAATACATTGTATATTTCTCCAGCGGTTTCAGCACCTGGGAGCTCGAGCCTAGAGTCCAACAGACCGCTGAGGCGTACATTTCTCTTGGTTGTCAGCGAGAGGGATGACAGCAAATCGCCAGGATGGAATCCCATAAATAGCTCCAGAACAAGCACCCCGAAGCTATATACATCGCATTTCTCCGTCACATTCTCTGTATATGCTAGCTCTGCAATTATAGTAAATTAGTTAACTAATGTGTGATTAGAGTTCATTGCAAGGATCCATACTTATGTTCCATGAATACATGACAAATTATTTTTACAAGAGCTACATATAATGAAATATCTAAGTGTAGAAAATGATACAGATAAGGATAGATTTATTTTTACCTGGAGCAAGATAGCCTTTTGTCCCGGCAATCCTTGTGTGATTCTGACCATGAATACTGAGAACTTTAGCCGTACCGAAGTCAGAGATGAAAGCTCTAAATTCAAGACCTAGCAAAATGTTGCTGCTTGTTATATCTCTGTGGACTATTGGTGACGAACAATCATGATGCATGTATGACAACGCTTGAACCACGTCCAAAACTATATGTATCCGCCTTGTCCAGCCCAATTCAATTGCCCTTACATTGGTTCTAAGTGTTTCTGCCAAGTCTCCTCTCCCCATATATTCATATATAAGAAACCTGCCTTGGCTGCAGGAACAATACCCAAATAGTTTTACGATGTTTCGATGCCGAATCTGCACCAATGCATTGATTTCACGATTGAAAACTGACTCGTTAATGCAACACTCATCTTCTATCATGTGTATCTTCTTCACTGCAAATATTTCGCTTGTTGCAAGTATAGCTTTATAGACGGATCCATATCCCCCGGTTCCTATGCAATGTACCTCGCTAAAATTGTCAGTTGCTTCAGTGATTTGCTTGAACACGTTTGCCCCATCAAAACTCCAAATAGAGAAGACTTTTTGTTCTTCTACTTTATCGGTGTTAATTGCCTTGGATTTCTTCCTTCCATGTCTAAAGATCAATATTGCGGCAACAAGAACAAGAGATACCAGAGCAGGAACCATGGCTAGTAAAAGTGTTTTGTATACTTTCCTTTTCCCTTGGGTCTGTGGGGCACTACTACAGGGAGGCAATCCTTTCACTACACCACATAGCATCTTATTATGCATAAAACACTTGATTGGTGCTCCTTGGAATAGCTTACTCTCTGGGACTGGCCCTTCTAATTCATTATAAGATACATCAATGGATATCAAGCTTTCCGTACTCTAAAATGATGACGGGATGGATCCATTAAGTTCATTGTGTGAAAGATTCAAAGTATCTAGCATAATCAGGCCACTTAGTTGGCTTGGTATTGCCCCAGAAAATGAATTATCACTTAAATCCAACATGTGTAAGTTGTGCAACACCCCTAGAATGGTAGGGATGTTCCCTTTGAAGTTATTGCGTCTCAAATTCAACGAGCGAAGCTTTAAATAATTCTCAATTGGTCCTTGTACCAAGCCACTTAGGCTATTTGATGACAAATCTAGCAGTTCTAGACTGGACAGTGCCCCAATTTCTTGTGGTATGCTTCCATGCAGCAAATTGTCTACGAGGCTCAAGTTGAACAATTTTTTTAGATTGCCTAGTGCACTTGGAATCTCTCCTTCAAGCTTGTTTGATGAAAGATCAAGTAGCCCTAGCTGAGACACTTGCCCCATACTTATGGGTATTTTGCCTGTGAGGTTGTTGTTTGAGAGGCGTAGCATAGTAAGACTACGACACTCCCCCCAACGATAAGATAATTGGCCAAATATTTTATTCGAGCTCCTCTCCATGTACACCAGATTTGGATAAGCTCCCAACTCAGAAATATCTCCTTCTATTTGATTCCTTTCAAGACGAACTCTAACTAGGCTTGTGCAGTGTACCAAACTTGACGGCAGAGGTCCATTTAGGTTGTTATCAAATGCAGTTAAATTCTTTAGCCGGCCTCCGGAGCACAACTCAGGTGGTAAGGGACCAGAGATATTGTTACTCTCCAAGTGTAGTGCCACAAGATCGCTTGAGGAACCAATTTCTTGAGGAACATGTCCAGAGAATTGATTTTCATTGAGGTTCAAGCGAGTGAGCTTAGTCAAATTTCCAAATATATTGGGGATGGAACCCATGAGTTTGTTCTTGTGTAGCTCCAAATCTTGTAGATTCATTAGGTAACCTAGTTCTCGAGGAAGATATCCGGTGAACTGGTAATCATAGAGGTACAAGATAGTGAGCTTGGTAAAATTTCCAAAGACATTGGGGATGGAACCGATGAGTTGGTTCCTGCTAAGTTCCAAATCTTCTAAATTCACTAGGTAGCCTAGTTCTCGGGGAAGAAAGTTGGTGAACTTATTGCCATCAAGGTACAAGATAGTGAGCTTAGTTAGATTTCCAAAGGTACTTGGGATGGAACCAATGAGTTGGTTATCACTAAGTTCCAAATCTTGTAGATTCACTAGGTTACCTAGCTCTTGAGGAATATGCTCGAAAAGTTTGTTACCCCAAAGGTACAAGCCATTGAGGTTAATGAGATGCCCAAAGGTATTGGGGATGGAACCAATGAGGTTGTTTTTCTCAAGAGCCAACTCTTGTAAATTTAGCAGGTAACCTAATTCTCGAGGAATGTATCTGGATAGTTGATTACGACCAAGGAGCAAGAAAGTGAGCTTTGTTAAATTCCCGAAATTAGTTGGAATGGGGCCAGTGAGGTTGTTGCTAGATAAATCCATCCTATGCAGTTTCTGTAGGTAGCCTAGTTCATTGGGGATGCAACCAATGAGTTTGTTATGGCTAAGAGCCAACTCTTGTAAATTTGACGGGTAACCTAGTTCTCGAGGAAGATATCCAGATAATTGACAACCATAAAGGTATAATATAGTGAGCTCAGTACAATTCCCTAAATTTCTTGGAATGGGGCCTGTGAGGTTGTTGTTGGATAAATTTACCCTATGTAGTTTTTTTAGGTAACCTAGTACACTGGGGATGGAACCGACAAGTTTGTTGTTGCTAAGATCCAACTCTTGTAAATTCGCTAGGTAACCTAGTTCTCGAGGAAGAAGCCCAGATAATTGATTACCAGAAAGGTATAAGGTAGTGAGCTTAGTGCAGTTTCCTAAACTTCTTGGGATAGGGCCTGTGAGGTTGTTGTTGGATAAATCTACCCTAAGTAGTTTCTTTAGGTAGCCTAGTACACTGGGGATGGTGCTAGACAAGTGATTTGCTGATAAATCCAGTCCAACGAGATTCTGTAATTGTTCTATTTGCCATGGTATTTCACCAGAGAGTTGATTCTCCTGAAGCATTAGGTGTTGAAGGTTTGGCAAGGATGATGCTAAAGAAGGTGGAAAGAAGCCCCTTATCTGATTGTGGGAGAGTTGGATACTCGACAGAGTACGCAACGCCGTGAAGTTTAGGGCGTTCAGCTCCCCTCTCAGCCGCAGCCCCCGTAGAGAGATCTCGGTGATCACCTCTTGGTGCCTTGGTTGATGCTTGCTGCACCTGATGCCGTACCAGCTGCACGGCCACACAGTGTTGTTTCGCCTTGCCCACGATTGAAGCTGGGCTGGGTGGCTTCGTAGTGTGGCTTTCCAGGCGAGAAGGGCCCCTGCTTGTTCTTGCAGTGATGGCGGCACTGCCATGGCCGGGGGAAACCAGGCTATTAGTAGTAGAGCGAGTGAGATGAGTTTTAGCAGAGGGGGGTTCTCCATGACTATTAGCATAGCAGAGATGGCTTAGCAATAGCAGGAGTATGTTCTTGGTTTATGCCTATACGTGAAACTTGGTTGAGTAATCTTCCATTTATAGGGTACCTCTCACCATGGGACCGGAGACTGGAGACTCGCACATCCATGGAGTCGTCCCAAGAGGAAGCTCTCCTAACGACCGTACACGTAGATGAAAATTCAATTATTTTCTGAACTTCTTTAATGTATGTATGAAGAACAAATTGTGTCCAGGTACGCAAAATGGATTCCGGAAACTTTCATCATTAGGATGAAACGACGTTCTTTTAACCCAGTACAGGCATTGACGCTCAAACATACACACATACACTCATTTCTATAAACGCACGCATGCATACCCTACCCCTATGAACACGCCCAAGAGACCGAGTCGACACATCATCTTGAGATTGACGAAGTCGTCACAGACGCCTTTGTAGTACGTCTCCTCCCACCAAACATACATCACCAAAAGGCAGGGTATAAATCCAAAAAAAAATGCAATTTCTAATGCATGTTTATGACTTAAACTCTGGTGAGTATAAAATACCACTGTCCTCCTAACCATTCAATGTCCTCTAACCATTCAATCCTAAGTTGGTTTGAAAACGAACACTTCTGGAACGAATACGAAGTAGAATTTTGGCCGGGTAAACCGCTCCATGTTGTCAGCATCGGGGACCCCGAACGAGACGGGTCGTACGCCGACGTCCACGGCAAGGCAAATATTGTTCTCTCTATCTATGTCTCTGTCTGATTCCCACTGACAAGAACATTGCCGTGCCGGACTAGTAATAAATATGCTAGGAATTCATACAACGAAACTGCTTCACACAGGATGCTTCTGCTCGATCTATGCAGGACGTGAGAATCGTCAGAATTCTGTCCAGCGGCCGGTACCCTTCTCTTTCATTCGCATGTCCGGCTGGATTTATCAGTCGTGTGTGAATCGTCAGAATTCTGTCGTGCGCATACAACCGGATGGCTAGCGCGCACCCAGTCGTCCAACTTTTATGTACGTGTTTGGCTCAAATTTTTCTGTACGTGTTTGTTGGAGTATAAGTCCGAACTATGAAAGAGAGCCGGACATTATACTCCAACACTCTCCCTCACGTTTATGCTTTTTTGAAGCTATATGACGTGGGCAGCGGAAGCGGGGGCAGGACGCAATTATTTATTGCGTTTACTGGGTTTTGAACCCTGAACCTCTTGGTTGGAAGCTTATGCACCTAACCAGTTCACCCATCAGTCCGAACTATGGGAGAGGGCCGGACATTATACTCCAACACTCTCCCTCACGTCTAGACTATTTTAGTCCTTAGACGTGGGATTGATGTAGGCCGCAGAATCGTTTTATTTAATACTGCGTTGGCAGGGTCTTAAACTCAAGACCTCTTGGCTCTGATACCATATTGAATTCATGCTCCAGCCAACTCATCTAAAAGTCCGAACTGATGAAAAGGAGGTGGGCAATATATTTCAACAATGTTAGTATATGGCACGAAGAGAAAAGAAATTCAATCGAGCTCCAAAGGATAAAAGACTCGGACATGCTACAATTAGAGGGGGAAAAAAGACATGCATCTGCATGCATGTGTCTTAGCTTTTTCTTTGCCAAAAAAATCAGATCTATTATAATAATTCACCGGAAGTACAAAATACCTCAAACATAATAAAAATTACATCGATCCATGGACCATCGAATGACCATTGCCGCCGCCAGAACGAGCCGCCGACGCGCCGTTGTTGCCGCTCCCATACCAGTGCCGGCCTGACCTTGTCAATGACAGCCGGAAAGTCTTCGTGCCCCGAAGGACCAGCGCCCTGGAGCCGCAATCGTCGCCTTTGAATCCTTGAATAAATCTGAAGAACCTGAACTCCGAATCAATGCGAGTTCTTGAAACCCTTTTTTCTTATATAAAGCGACAATAAATCCACAACGCGGGAAAACCGAGTTTTGATATTGGGCAATGTTATGCGTCGGGCGGGGGATGGATCACATCTATCGGCCTCTTTTGCGCATGTTTGATGTGAGCATGCTTGATCAACCCTCTTGCCTCGTATGACCACTTCATCTCTCACGTGCAGCGTATGTGATATTACAATTTAGAGAAAACCCCCGATATCATGGGGAAAGTGAGTTTGGGATAACCCACAAAAAACTTTAAGATTCTTTTAATAGGGCTATTCCTATTCCTTTTCTGGTCAATTTGTGTTTATGCTCATTTTTTCAGGTGGCACACCCTATAATTGTCGAGTGGTTCTGTCAGTTTCAATACCATTTTAAGGTATTATGAAGACCCATGTCAGTTGAATCCATGGAAAATCGAGCGACCTAGCACATGCTAGGATCCAACATGCTGAATAAAAAGATGGCTATGCTATTACAAAAGTTGGTCGAATGAGGAAGTCCTATCGGCCAAAAACATTAGGATTCTTCTCCTTCATGGTGCTTAATCAAGTCATTCTCTCATAAATGAGTTCTTTCTGATTGCAAAAAATATATCATGGTCACTGCACAGTGCACTGGTTCGCCGATAAAATTTGTAGCCACTTACAAAGGCGTGTTAGAAGAAACCTCGGCTCTGCACCGGTTAGTGAGGGGAGGTTTTGGGAAAGTTGGGCACAACAACGTGGCCCC